GCAGCTGTGGTCACATTGTCAGATGCTCTGGCCTACAATATGTATGTAGCAATGATAAAGTATAGATCAATGGCATGACGAAGTCCTGCATACCACTATGAAATTTCGGCCTCACTGAGTCAATGGCAAAATTCCCATTGACTTCAGTGGGGCTGGGAGCTCATCCCAGGAATTTAATGCAGCCTGGAAACCATTAAACACATAAAAATGTGCTATTAGGTGAAAACTATTGTTATTTTTCCCTTGAGGCTGCTTTTTTTGTGTTTCTATGAGGCTTCTGCCAATTTATTTTGACTTAAGTTTAAGTCAATGGATGTTTTCAATAAACTTACTGTAGGGTCTAGGTCTGATGTCTGAATGTGATATACACACTTATCCCTCCACCTCATTGCCATCCAAGATCAAAGCAGACACAAGTTTGAAATTTCAGTTTTGTAGGTAAACAGCTAGATCCCAGTAATCTAGCAGCACTATCACCAATGTTAGACATGGAAGATGCAGTCCTTGGGTCTAGATCAGCTGTACTCTGTGCAGGACACAAGTGCTGGAGCAAAGGCAAAAGTATGCCTCCTTTGCACAGTCCCAATCTTGGAGTCAGCTTGGAACCACTTTGTAACCTGGTTCAACGTGGAGACGCCTGAGGTTTCTACGAGTCTTACCGGCTGGTAACAGCCTCCAAGAGGCCATTACATCAGGGAATGGCAAATTGCAGTAGTGCTCCAGTATTTTCCCTTTTCCCACAGCAAAACTGTCTATGCTGGATGTTGTGAGAAGGATAGCATAGGGCGGAGGGGGGCAAACTTTTTGGCCCGAGGGCCACATCTGGGTGGGGAAATTGGATACAGGGCCATGAATGTGGGGCTGGGCAGGGGCTTAGGGTGCGGTGTGCAGGAGGGGGCTCAGGGCAGGAGTGCAGGGAGGTGTGCGAAGTGCGGGAGAGGCTCAGGGCAGGAGAGGTGCGGGGTGCAGGAGGGGTTTGGGGTGCGGGCTCCGGCCCGGCGCCACTTCCCTAGAGCAGCTCCATGGTGGCAGCGGCGCTAAGGCGGGCTCCCTGCCTGCCCTGGCCTCGTGCCACTCCCGGAAGTGGCCGGCACCGTGTCTCTGCAGGGGGGTAAGGGAGGGGGCAGAGGGCTCCACGCGCTGCCCTAGTCCGCGGGTACCTCCCCCAAAGCACCCGTTGGCCACGGTTCCCTGTTCCCGGCCAATGGGAGCTGTGGGGGGTGGTGCCTGCAGGCAAGGGCAGCACGCGAAGCCCTCTGCCCCCCCTCCCCCAGGGGCCGCAGGGACATGGTGCCGGCCACTTCTGGGAGTGGCCAGGGGCCCGCGGCACCATGGGGTAGCAGTCCCGCGGGCCGGATCCAAAGCATGGGCCGAATCCAACCTGCAGGCCTTAGTTTGCCCACCCCTGGCATTGGGCCTGCTAATTCCATGCCACCTAGGGATCCCACCATATTGCAGAAACCCTCAGCTGGACAGCTAGACCCGCTGTCTTGCCCCTCAGGGCCATAACTGAAGCCAGGATCCTGGCCCCTAAGGGTTAGTACTACACTATAACTGTAGAACAAAAGCTCTAAAGATCAATCTGCTTTTGGATTAGGTAGATCAAATCAATTTCTTCTGAGATTTAAGATCTTCTCTGCCACCAAAAGTTCTGAGGGTCTATTTGGGGGGGTCTATCAGTTCCTATTATATAGGAAACTTCCATGTATTAGTGAAAAAATTGAACCATCACCCCTTAGTTTTGCTCTCCGCTTCAGAACTGAGCTGCTGTTGTCGGGATGGAAACCAGGAGGAGAGATTATTATTAACTGATATTTTCTATTGCTGATTCCTAAAATACACTAAGTACAGTCAATGGCTCCTCCCACTCCCCACCTCCACCCTATTTTCCCTCTCCTGCTGCTTCTCAAAGCAATGGGTGGGGTTTGCAAAAGAAAAGAAGAAAGTAAGATCTGCAACATTACTGCGGCGCTAGTGAATCTGGGGGACAAAAAGCCAAGAGACTCTACGTTTGATTGATTACCGGAAAATTTAGTCATCTGATGAAAATAGGATAAAAAGCAAAAAAGTATTTTTGACTCCATATGTTCTATAAAATCTAACTTCCAGCTAGAATTCTCCCAGAAAAGTCAGCTCCACACAGCTGATTAAAATTTCAGGCAAGTTTAACAGGTGTCAAGAAAATGTTTAATCTGTTATACATGTTATAAATATCCTGGGGAACTAATGTCTTTCCTGGTTCTTTTCAGGCCAGTATGTTAGTTATGAACCATTTTAACTTGGATCACCATCACAATTTTATTAGTGCGACTAGCTACTTCACTTCAAGTAAAAGAAGTCCATTAAAATCAAATACTTCTGATGGCCTTTTAAAAGCACCATCACACCCATTTCTTATAGAGTAGAGTGTTTCTTGTAGAATGACCTCTGAATTATGATATCAAGAGTAATCAATTCCAGCTCTATTTTCTGCATTCCTAATTTTTCTCACTATGGGATAGCATGCTCAAACAACTTTCCGGAAAACTTAGCTGCTGTGAACATTTCTACTGTGATTCTAAGCACAGCAATGAGCCACATTCAGAGTATCCCTGGTAGAAAACTGCTGTGTTTAAGTTTCATGTTTAAGTATTGCCTAAAAATACTCTTATTGCAATTGTGGGAGTAAAACACTTGACTTTTCCCCCATTAAGTTTTCTGGTGGTTTAAACCATGATTCCTTCTACCTGTAATATATTTATTACATATGAAAATAGAAGCTGTTTAAGTTCTCCAGGTTGTCAAGTGAACTGTATACATTTAAATTGCTTGGCAGCTTTTTAAATATTCCTAAACCAAGAAGTATCTGCCAAGTTTCAGTCTTAGTTAATTTTTACAATCACAAAGCCATGATGAAAAACTGTGTTTCTAATGGTAATGCTGACAGACCTTTAAATGTTCCAGCACTAGAGACAATTCAAAAACACACCCCTATTCAGGATAACACGTAAGCATGCACTGAAGTCCCAGCACTTAAGTCCATGAGACCAAGCATGCTCTGAAGTGGCAGTCTTGAACAGGGATGGAGTTAAGACCTTTCCTGAATCAGGGTTGAGGTGCATTCGGTGTATCCAAGACTTCTTGATATAACTACAACTCCTTTGAGTTTTACTCTTCATTGTGGGTATACTTCTGATACATTCAGCTGGGTCCTACAGCCTTTTTTAAGCCTTCCCTTTTAGCCTTTGCCCAAAATATTGGTGCACACACTGCAAACAGGACTATATCCAGTGTTGCAAACAACATTCTTGAAACATCTTCGTGTTTAAGTATAAACATTTTTTAATAATGTAACAGTTCTATAGGTTCTAGAGATAATTTAATTTCCCAGCTCACTGACTAATACAGTCATCTGGGAAAGTAACACTGGCTGTGAGTTGAAGCTAGACAAATTCAGACTGGAAATAAGGCATAAATGTTTTAACAGTGAGAGCAATTATCATTGGAACAATTTGCCAAGAGTTGTGGTGGATTCTCCATCACTTAAAAATAAAAATCCAATCTTGATTTTAAAATTGTGTTAAATCTGCTCTAGGAATTATTTGGGGCAAGTTCTCTGTCCTGTATTACACAGGAAGTCAAGCTAAATGATCACAATGGTCTCTTCTGGCCTCAGAATCTATGGAAAACCATCACTAATCTAGATAATGCACCTGGAAAAAGAGCAGTAACCTCATAAGGCTATGGTAAGGATAATAAATATCCTTGCTATAATCAGAGTCAAAGTCTTGAATTTCCCACTTAAAATACAGGGAGACATTTCTGCTAACTCTGTTTTCCTTACAGTGCTGGTCTCAATCATGATTCTCTTCCCCCACACACACTACCCTAAACAAAACAAAAAACAAAAAAGAAAGAAAAAGAAAAAGAAAAAAGGAGAAACTGGGACAAGCAACATAATAAATTGCTACACTAACCTTACATGCAACCCTGTTTTTGGCACCCTCCACCCTCATTCACATGTGCAGCTCCACTAATTTCTATGGGAGTTTGGCAAGTGTAATCTTAATACTTCAGTCAATGCCTCAGGGAAAATAAATTTATTTGCTTTAACTCTGTAAATATTTATTAATACAATAAATACTTAGCACTTACATGCCAATGTATGGGTCAGAGCATGCAAAGTGGTGAGCATCTACTGTTAATTGACATCAAAGTGAGTGGCATCCACTCATTTCCTTGCAGGATTGGGCCCTACTTCATCAAAGCACTATGAAAACATACACTCTGTAAAGCAGGTATTTCCTATAGTTATACATGCAGTATATAAATACTCTAAACAGAAAGTCCTTTTCAACCTTCTTTCTGCAGTATAATTCCCCATATCTGTGTATATATTACTCTTTAAATAGAAAGGATTTACTAAATAAATAACAGTAGAATGCCTGCCACTGTAGTTTTTATTTGAATTTGTTGTGATTAGCTTTTGCAACAACTGCAATCAGTTTAATCTTTGGATTTCCATTTAAAACATTACATTCAGATTTTCAATCATTCCATCTTCCCTTCCAGGGTTTGGAATAGTGGTTTGTGGTTTTTTGTTTTGTTTTAAGAAATCAGAAGAGCTATTTAAAAATAATAAATAAAAAAAAAGGAGTATGCATCCCAGGTTAACCATTCAGACATATTCATGTAACATTTCATTTTCCACCATCTGAAAGCCCTTATTTAGTATAATTAATATTATTCTATCAAGAGAGACAGCGTGGGAGCTACTAAAAATATAAAGGAACACTTCATGCAGATCTTGTTTACAGAAGATGTGCAACTAAACTCAGTATTGTGGCCATTAAAAAGTCACCGTTCAATCATATTAGGTTGTATATGTTCAATAAAATCTAAATATATTTTCAAAAATTAATGTTTGTTCTTAAACTACACATCCATCTGATTTCCCCCAAATTATGCAGTTCAATGGAAGCCTGCACCAGATTAGTCACAGTATGACTAAAAATAAAATGAGATGTCTACCAGTATTTCCTTCTTCATATATATTTGGCAGGACTGATTTGTACTAAACACAATTAGAAAAGAAGATATACACAGTTCAGATAGGGATGCTTCATCTATTTAAGGCTTTTGGAATTACAAGTGTCAGTGAATACTATTCAGCTTTGTCCACACCAGTGCATTCTGGCTTTGCTTCCACCATTGCATTTCGAAGGATGCCTGTAAAACACTGTACAGCCACAGACAAAAACGTCACTACATTTACTCAGCAAGGCTAAGCACCATGTCACCTTATGCAGTGTCACTCTGCATTGCTTGTGCAGACAGAACCACTCAAACCTCCCCAAAACCTAAAAGGAACACAGCAGGACACACATAGAATGAGGAAAAAAAGTTTATTCATGTTTTTCCTTTTAAGCTAACACTTTCTAATTTGGGGGGGACGGGGTCAGGCGAAGGAATGTCCTACAGGAATTCACTTGCAAAAATACAAAACGCAAGAATCATGGTTACTTGGTAGACACACAAACTCCACCAATCTACTTACTTTATTGGGATTGCTATCACAAGTCTGGCTGATGCCCCATCAGCCTCTCCCACAGCCCTAATATGCGGAAAAGAGAATACAGAAAAGGACCATGAGTTACAGGAATCATAGCAAGTGTACCCACCCCTTAGCTCTCATGCCCCTTTACCAAAGTAAATCCACTTACCATCCCGTGTTGCTCCAGAAGCCACTTGCTGCTGTCCCCTTCCTCCAGCCATCATGAAGACGCAATATATTCCCCTGTGAACTCCACTACATTATGTGGGGGAAGAGAGATGGGGTTACTCACTAGAGACGTCCTCTCTCCAGACCAGGACTAAATCCTATGTCTGGCTCCTAAAGGGGAAAGGAGGAAAGAATTAGTTCCGCTCCGAACCAAAAAGAGCAGCAAAAAACAAAAACTCTGTTTTTAATAAAACACTGAATACATAAGTGAAAATAATGAAATCTAGGTCCTCACCTCCTTGAGATCCACCCCTAAAATGGCGACGGGCTCTTCCTAATAGCCAGATATGCCAGCACACAGTGTATCTAGCACTGGCTCAGGCGAAGGCTTGTCATTCTCTACCATGGCATCGGCACTGGTAGCATGAGGGCATAACAGGGCACATCCCTTGCACCTCATGGCACATGTGCACATCATCCTGCAAAAGAACCATTCCAAGCATCCGTCGGAACAAACAAAAAAATGTGAAGAGGTGGGAATGTGTGCTACACAGTGGCAGATCAATGCACGGGCCACCACATGTCCCCGCGCCATAGCAGCCCAGGGTTCCTGGGCAGCCCTACCATGATCCGTCTCCAACTTCTAGACCTGGCCAGGGGGGTGGGGCTTTGGGGGGGAAGGGGAGGAGCAGGGAGTGGAGCCCTGTGGCGAGGGGTATGTGGGGAACCCAAATGTTCTTGATGCTAAGGTTGCCAGGTGTCCGGTTTTTGACCGGAACACCTGGTCAAAAAGGGACCCTGGCGGCTCTGGTCAGCACTGCTGACGGGGCCGTTAAACGTCCAGTTGGTGGCGCAGTAGGGCTGGCAGGGTCCCTACTGGGCTCCTAGGAGCCAGAGGGACATGCTGACCGCTTCCCAGGAGCTGCCTGAGGTAAGCACTGCACGGAGACTGCATCCCTCTCCCCCCACACCCCTGCCCCAGCCCTAAACCCCCTCCCACACCCAAACTCCCTCCCAGAGCCTCCACCCCGTCCCGCACCCTGAACCCCTCATTTTCTGGCCTCACTCCGGAGCCGACACCCCCAGCTCAGAGCCTGTACTCCCTCCCTCAGACCCCAATCCCCGTTCCAGCCCAGAGCCCCTCCCACACTCCAAACCGCTCGGCCCCAACCCCCAGCCTTCTCCTGCACCCTGAACCCCTCATTTCTGGTCCCATCCTGGAGCCTGCAGCCCAACTCCCTGCCCCAGCCTGGTGAAAATGAGCAAGTGAGAGACGGTGGGGGAGAATGAGTGATGGAGAGAGAGCAGATGGGCTATGGCCTTGTAGAAGGGGCAGGGTCTCAGGGAAGGACCAGGACTGGGGGCAGGGCAAGGGTGTTCGGTTTTCTGCAATTAGAAAGTTGGCAACCCTACTTGTTGCCCAGGGCCCCAATAAATCTTAATCCGCCTCTGGTGCTACATAACGCCTGGCTTGAGAGAACTCTGCTGGGCATTGTAGGATAGAGGCAATGAATCTAAATGCCCTCCAATGCTGGCAGGCAATGTTCTGGGAGGACTTAGTGCACTATCTGCACCCAAAATAAGATAAGAAACACTAACACACTGCACCCTTTCAACTTGCACTGATTCAGATACTCAGGTGCAAGTTGCAACAGTGCAATTCACTAGTGAAGACAAGGCTTTTGTTATCAGGATCCGTTCAATTGTCAGAAACAGTCTGGACTCTCAGAAGTAGGGACACTGGTTTCCTGTGTGGCTGGCTCATACCTACAGAATTTCCTTTCAAAAGAGATCAACATTGTCCCAGAAATTGCACCTGTAAAACCCCTCCGTTATCCACCGAGAATCACTCGAGTCATGGTTCCTCAGCCATCACCTCTCTTGGGTGGAGACTACGTTTCTCTCGCTCCTGACTGAGGTTTTTCCAGACTGCAAAGTTCCCTGCCTATACTGCGATACTTTCAGCAAGCCAGACTGCTTAGACAAGCCAGTGTCTGCACTTTGCATTCTCTTTGAAGGCTATGAACAATTCAACTGCCAGCAATTATAAGGTAATTATATACATGTATTCTTAAGGTGAAAAAAGCATTACAGAGAAAACATGTTAAAAACAATAAAAGAACCTACACACACTAATAAGTTTACCAGAGATACCTGCTAATTCCAGCAGTCAGTCCTTCAAACTCCACAAAGAGGTTTTTCTGGGGTTACAAGTTCCTAACAGTCTTGGCCCAAAACAAGCAAACCCATGCACAGTCTAGTCTTTCTTTTATACTGCTTGGGCCTTTGACCTTCAGACTCCTGGAACAGGTAATCAGAAGACAATGGTCCCCTCCTCCTCAGGACATAGCTTGAAAAGGCTGGATTTTTGCATAACCAGGGGGCGGGGAGAAATTTACATTCACTTTCCTCTAGAGAGCCCCCAAGAAAATCGCTTGACACTGTTTGTTCCAAAAGTCCATTCTTGCATGGCACATTGTTCAGTACAGTCTTTTGAAGTCCATAACACTTCCCATGGTAATAGCCAATTTAGAACTAATCCATGAGAGGACCCTCCCTCTTATACCATAGCTACTTAGTTTCCTTAAGACCCTTTTCTGAGGTACCTAGTCAAAGGCTTTCTGAAAATTCAAGTACACCAGGGGCTCTCAAACTGGGGGTCAGGACCCTTCAGGGGGTCACGAGGTTATTACATGGGGAGTCACGAGCTGTCAGCCTCCACTCCAAACTCTGCTTTGCCTCCAGCATTTATAATGGTGTTAAATATATTTTAAAATGTTTTTAATTTATAAGGGGGGGGAGGTCACACTCAGAGGCTTGCTATGTGAAAGGGATCACCAGTACAAAAGTTTGAGAACCACTGAAGTACACTATAGCCTCTAGATCACCCTTATCCACATGCTTGCTGACTCCTTCAAAAAATTATAATAGATTGGTGAGGCATGATTTCCCTTTACAAAAGCTGAGCTGACTCTTCCCCTAAAAACTCCTGTTTATCTAGGTGTCTGATCATTCTGTTCTTTACTATACACCTCTACCCCGATATAACATGACCGGATATAACACGAATTCGGATATAACGCAGTAAAGCAGCGCTCCGGGGGGGCAGGGCTACGCACTCTGGCGGATCAAAGCAAGTTTGATATAACGCGGTTTCACCTATAACGCGGTAAGATTTTTTTGGCTCCCGAGGACAGCATTATATCAGGGTAGAGGTGTACTTTCTACCAAATTGCCCAGTTCTGAAGTTAGGCTTATTGGCCTGTAATTGCTAGGATCTCCTCTAGTGCTCTTTTTATGAATTGTCATTACATTAGCTGCCTTCAAGTCATCTGGTACAGAGGCTGATTTCAGTGATAGGTTACACAGTACAGTTTGTAGTTCTGTAATTTCATATTTGAATTCCTTCAGAACTCTTGGGTGAATACTATCAAGTCCTGATAACTTACTACGGTTTAAGTTATCAATTTGTTCTAAAACCTCTTCTACTGCAGCATCCATTTGGGACAGTACTTCAGGTTTGTCACCCAAAAAGAATAGATCTGATGTGGGTATCTTCCAGCCATCCTCTGCAGTGAAGACCAACAAAAAGAATTCATTTATCTTCTCCGCAATGGTCTTATCTGCCTTGAATGCTCCTTTAATACCTGTGTCATCTAGAGTCTCCCCTGCCTGTCAGGTTTCTTGCTTCTGATGTACTTAAAAATATTTTACTGTTAGTTTTTGCATCTTTAAGTTGCTTCTCAAATTCTTTCCTGGCCTGCCTTATTATATTTTACATTTTATTTGACAGAGTTTGTGCATCTTTCTATATTCCACATTAGCATCTACTTCCAAATTTTAGAAAGATGCCTTCGTGCCTCTAATGCCCTATTTACTCTGCTGTTTAGACATGGTTGCATTCATTTGGTCCTTTGACTGTCTTTTTTATTTGGGTTATACCTTAAAGTCTAAGCCTCTATTCTGCTGTTTTTAAGTAGTCTCCATGCTGGTTGCAGGCCCTTCAGCCTTGGGCCTGCTCTTTTTAATTTCAGTCTAACTAGTGTCCTCATTCTTGTGTAGCTCCCCCTTTTCAAGTTAAATGTTACTGTGGTGGGATTTTTTAGTATCTTCCCCCTTGCAAGGATGCTACATTTAATTACATTATGGTCACTATTACTGAGTGGTTCAGCTATAAGTTCCTCTTGGACCAGATCCTGTGCTCCATTTAGGACTAAATCATGAATTGCCTCTCCCCTTATGGGTTCCAAAACTAGCTCCAAGAATCAGGCATTTATGGCATCTAGAAATGTTATCTCTGTATCATGCCTTGATATTTACCCAGTCAGTATGAGGATAGTTCAAATCACCCATTATTATTGCATTTCTCTAACACCCCTTAGCATTACAGTCACCATCCTGGTCAGGTGTTCAGTAGCATACTCGTACTGCCCTTTATTCAAGCATGGAATTTCTATCCATAGAGATTCTACAGTGCAGTTTTGTTCATTTAAAACTTTCACTTTATTTAATTCTGTGCTTTTTTTAACATACAGTGCCAAACCCCCAACAGCACACCCTACTGTGTCATTCCTATATATCAAGGGTGGCCAAACTGACTCGCAAGCCGCAGGGGACTCTTTTACAGTTAAAGTGCAGCTCCCCCGCAACCCTTCCCATTCTCCACCTACCACACTGGGGGAGGGGGGAGGGGGAGAGGAGGGCTCTGGACCTCTGCCTTGCAGTGGGGTGATGGGGGAGGGGCTTCTGCCCAATGGGGGGGGGGTCCTCAGGGATTCAGCCCCGCAGGGTGCACCTGCTGGGGTTCAGGGCTTCAGCAGAAGACGGGCTGAAGCCCCGAGCCCCAGCAAGTGCCTCCCATGGGGCAGAAGCCCCGAGCCCTGGCAAGTGCCCCTCAACTTTTGAACTTCTGAAGATTATCATATGCGGCTCAGAGCCGTAAGCTTGGCCACCTCTGCTATATACACCTCTACCTCGATATAACGCTGTCCTCAGGAGCCACAAAATCTTGCCGCGTTATAGGTGAAACCGCGTTATATTGATCTTGCTTTGATCCACCCGAGTGCAGAGCCCCGCTCCCCCGGAGCACTGCTTTACCGCGTTATATCCAAATTCGTGTTATATCGGGTAGCGTTATATTGAGGTAGAGGTGTATTTTGTACCCTGGTGTTACTATGTCCCATCAAATATCCTCATTCCCAGTTTCCATGATGCCTGTTATATCAATATCCTCATTTAATGCCAGGCTCTCTCGTTCAATGGCTCTCAACTTTTCCAGGCTACTGTACCCCTTTCAGGAGTCTGATTTGTCTTGAGTACCCCCAAGTTTCACCTCACTTAAAAACTACTTGCTTTCAAAATCAGACGTAAAAATACACAAGTGTCGCTACACACGATTACTAAAAAATTGCTTACTTTCTCATTTGTACCATATAATTATAAAATAAATCAACTGGAATATAAATACTGTACATATATTTCAGTGTATACTATATAGAGCAGTATAAACAAGTGATTGTATGAGATTTTAGTTTGTACTGACTTCGCTAATGCTTTTTATGTAGCCTGTTGTAAAACTAGGCAAATGTCTAAATGAGTTAATGTGCCTCCTGGAAGACCTTAGTGTTCCCCCAGGAGTACATGCATCCCTGGTTGAGAAGCACTGCTCTAGTTCACCCATCTTAGTATTTAGATTTCTAGTATTTGTATATAATCCATGGAACTGGAGAGGCAAAATTCAGTGGAACAGGGATGTTGTTTCCCCATATAATGTATATTTTGCATAGTCCTCCTCTGAAAACGATTTTCATCTAGCTTGACAGCACTGCAAACCAAACTACACTGCCCAACAATGACAAGGAAAGATTAGTTTAGTCTCCTTGCCTTTTTGGCTTCAATCATCAGACTGCAAAAGTCACCAAGGCCTCCTCTGTAGATGCAGTTATACCAGCACAACTGTGCTTTAGCTGCAGGGGGGGGGGGGGAGAGGGGAGGGGGCTGGAATAAGCCATACCAGTAAAAGCACAGGTTTGCTTGTATAAACTGCATCCACACTAGGAGCGCTTTGCCAGTACAGTATACTGGTATAGCTATACCGGCAAAACTTTCCAAGAGTAGATCAGGTCTAAGTATGTTGATCATTTTTGTGAAGTCCATTATGATCTGGATTGAGACAGGCTATCTTTAACAGAGACAATCAAAACAGTGTCCACATCTTTTAGTCACTACCAGCTTCAGGAAGATTTGAACCAATAACTACCCATCCCAAAGCACAAAAAGTTTTGTGTATTTGTTTTTAAACTTTGTTTGCGATTGAACAAGTTTCAGTGTGTAGGATTCAAAATTCAATGTTTCCATAGTAGTACAGTAATAAACTCAAACCACTACAGCAGCAGCCAGACATATTTCCAGCATCAGCATTAATCACTTGGCATAGCAGAAATAAAGTAATTGAAACAGAACGCTGACACGATCAACTGTCTCTAGCTTTAGGAATAAACATTGCGGTTTGCCTAAACATTCCAGCAGCAGGAGGCTGCCTGTGAAAATGTGCTATTCCACTGAAATTCTTTACGAAGAGTATTTGGGAGTGAGTGGTGGAAAGTCAGATTAAAAGTCATGTAGCAAACTCCTAAATCGCAAAGGAAATAATGCTTTATTGTCAGTGACCAGCAACAGTAAACACAGGACACCTTCAAGCACAGGGTGCTCCTCCCATTTAGAACAATACCTGGGGTGGTAGTGGTCTGAAAATGTTTAATTATTAATCAAGCATTCCAAACTTCAGAGTGGTGAGTGAGGTGACTCCTGCTTAGAAGGGGACCTGCCTGCAGGCATAGTTTACCCACTTATAAATAACTGGACTTGTCCTGAGGGATAAGCCTGGAATGTGGCAGAAAAGGGGGAAGGAGTATTCCATTTCATGGCCACAATAAAAACACAATCCACTGTCTGATCTTCCTCTCTCTCCTCAAGTCTCATACAGAGTTTATTATAATGCTTAAAAGGACTTAGAAGCTCCACTATGATTACATTACAGGAATTTCAACAATGCAAAACTGCTGCTGGACTAAGCAGCAGATATTTGGATTTCCTAGGGAGGTTGAAAGAAAAAAAGGGGGAAATATTGCTAAATGTGTATAATTTTATCTCTTTGATAAAACCCACTAACCTTTTAGATTCTCCATAAACGGAAAAAAAATACATCTCTTTTAAGATGGAAAGGATTTAGTTTTAGAAAGTAACAGCACTTTCAAAAAACAAAGGTTTCAGAGTAGCAGCCGTGTTAGTCTGTATCCGCAAAAAGAACAGGAGTACTTGAGGCACCTTAGAGACTAATGCTCTAATAAATTTGTTGGTCTCTAAGGTGCCACAAGTACTCCTGTTCTTTTTTCAAAAAACAAAGGTATCAACCTCACCCATGATCTTTTTTCAGGTATAAAACAGGAGATGTGCTGCCACTGGCCTGGGGCTTGTGAGGAAAGGTCCAGGGAGATGAATGAGGAAGCAAACAGATGGATGGCTGGGAGGGTAGAGAGAGAAACCGGGAAGTAGGTATTTACCCTTATAAGACCTCAGCTTTCCCAACTCTGCCTCTCAGGAAAGGTAACATACATTTGTACATTTATCATAGCCACCATTCAGGTTTCACCCTCTTTATCATGTTTCCAGATGAGCAGCTTGAAGTAGCTGTTATAGGGTGACCAGATGTCCCAATTTCATAGGGACAGTCCCGCTTTTGGGGTATTTTTCTTATATAGGCTCCTATTATCCCCCCCCACCCACCCACCCCTGTCCACATTTTTCACACTTGCTGTCTGGTCACCCTAAGCTGTTAGTATGTATTAAAATATCCAGCAACAGCTTCATCTCTCTCTCTCCCTCCCTCTCACACATACACAAACAAACACGGAAGCCACTTGTGCAACTGTGTTTCCTCTTTCACTGATGCATTTGGATTGCAAGTCTTCGGATCTCTCTAGAAGAGGAAAAAACCCAGAGCAAGCAACCAGAGAGAAAGGAACTCAGGCATCACAAAGACTCAGGGTCACCTCCACAGCAGAAGTTGAGCACACATAGACCAAACCCTGGTCCCATTGAAGCCAATTGGAGTTTTGCTGTGGGTTTCTCATGGTTTGGCCCCCAGTCTCAAAATAGAACCCTCTCCTCCTCCTCCCCAGCCAGCTGTGTAACCCTCTCCTCCCTCCACAGACCGCAGACACATGTGTAATCCTCCCCTCTCCACTTCCCCCAGCCAGATGTATAACCCTCTCCTCTTCCCCCCTAGCCTGCATAGGTGCTGGGGTGCTGCTGCTGCTGCCGCCTGCCTCTCCCCCCCGCCTCCCCCCACTTGAAGTTATTTCCATCATATACAGGCTTTACAGTTTGGTTCAATGGCTCTCGACACACACACCCCATACAATTTTTTCCAACACCCGTGTACAGATGTGTAATAACTCCCCACCCCCAGCCAGATGTATAACCCTCTCCTCGCCTCCCCCCGCTTGCAGACAGATGTACAATTCGGGCTCAACCCACAGGCACTAACACCACCAGCAGAAAATGTCCCCAAACTGCCCCAACTCGCCGCCCCTACGGACGGGAGCGAAGAGGGATTTTGCTGGAGGAACATTTGCAACTTCGCCCGGCTCCTCCGCCGCCCCGCGCGGCCGGGGACAGCGAGGGGCACCGGGCACGGCTCCCCGCGGGCTGCTCCTTACCGCCGTGGAGCCGGAGGAGGAGGCGATGTAGACGCGGATGACCATCCTGAGCGGAGCTGCTGGGACACGGGCGCCTCGTGCTGGGTGTGCGCTGGCGGAGCAGCCGGAGCAGTGAGCGCAGGCAACCCGGCCCCCGGGCAGCGCGAGGGGGAGGGGCCGCTCAGCCCCGCCTACCCGGGTAGCGTCAGAAACTGATCCCTGTCCCAATGTGCCGCTTAGGGTGTACTGGGCATGCTCACACCACTGGGCATGCTCAGTAACATCTGCTGAAGCCGCTGCCCTCACTCTGCCCTTCCTTGGAATCAGCTTCTGCTGCTTTAGAGGGGTTCAAAGGTGGCAAATCGGACGGTGGGTGGGTGGGCAGGATCTGAGCAGCGGGCGGAAATTTACTGTGGTGGGGGGGAGTCAAGCAGCTGAAGGCAGAGGCAGCTGAGGGGCAAAATCAGGGATGGGGGGTAGGAGCTGGGGTTAAGCCCAGGGGCACAGGGAGAGGGTAACAGTTATCCCGGTGCTGAGATGAGCCACCTGCCGTGTTTGCCAAAAAAAAAGGGGGGGGGGTGCAGAGGGGCTTTTTTATTTCCCCTCTCACAGGACAGTACCTCTCAGCATGGGCTTCCCAGGACTGGGTTTTTAAAGGCATGCCACTACCGAGGCATGGCAGCTCCTCTCTATCTGTTATAACGTGCTGACGGGCTACAGGAGACTTGAGCCAGCAAAATATTTTACATATTCCCCCCTCAAGAATTATGTGTCACACATTTTGGGTATTTAAAAGAATCCCTTATGAGATTATACGTCTACACAAAGTCTCATAACACTTCACAAATTTGCCTTCTCAGCTGCTGTGAGTCCCTGAGTTGCACTCCCTTCCTTAAATGTAATCCATTTAAACACTGTTTTGCTCCTTTTAAAGTGTTACTTTTATTACTCTTTCCACTTCATCATTTGCCTTTGTTCTCATTGTGCAGATGCATATTATTGTGCCATTTAATTTCTATTTTAATAACAAACACTCATCAAATATTTATAAGTAAATAGTTGCTAGTAGTTTTAGCAATGATATGTTTCTAGTAGAGCACTTGCTATGTTTTTTACTGTGATTTTTAATTTGGAATTTTTAATTCTAACTTTTTTCTTCTTATTTTTATAGTACACGTTTATTCTGTTGGCTCATGTGACTTCCAGTCTGACTGATTTCCTAGCCTGGTGTCAAAACTTCATTTGCATTTGATCCACCAATGGGGATTGTCTTTTGCAACTATTATTTTGCCTCTCAATCCAGCCCTTAGTGATTTTTCACATGTCATTGATTGTGCGTAGAACTTGATTCTCAAATATTCAATAAGGGCAGTGTACTATCTCATATTACATCCTTCTCAAGGGCAAAAATCTTCTGTAATTTTTGCTGAACATAAGAATAGCCATAGCGGGTCAGACCAATGGTCCATCTAGCCCAGTATCCCATCTTCCGACACTGGCCAGTGCCAGGTGCTTCAGAGGGAATGAACAGAACAGGCAATCTTCAAGTGATCCATCCCCTGTTGTCCTCTCCCAGCATCTGGCAGTCAGAGGTTTAGGAACATCCAGACCAAGGATTGCATCCCTGATCATCTTGGCTAATAGCCATTGATGGACCTATCCTCCATGAACTTATCTAATTCTTTTTTGAACTAAATTATTGTTTTGGCCTTCACAACATAATGAACACATATCTACAATCCCAATATTGACAATCACAAGAATTCCAAAATCATGAGTTATACACCCTCAAGTCATGACATTTAAAAAAAATAAATGAATGATATTGGGTTCTTCTTATGTGTTAATTTGTTCCTGAGCCTTTAGAGTGTAGTAGGCCCGGTTCAACAAAAACAGGAGCCTAAACACCTGTATGAATCTTGGCCTATTCTCATACTTTTCCTGTTACCACTCTGACACATTTCATATACCTAAGGCCATATCTACACTTCAAACTTATGTTAATTCAAGTTATGTCATCATAGAAATCACCACAGTTAGTATGTCATGTGCACATGCCTACTAGACTCCTTGTGTCTAAGTTTTCCTGCTGTCATTTCCCCCATCGCCATGTGGCTGGGCAAGGAGGTTACATGGGGCTGGTTCCCCTGTGGTCAGGGGGACTCTGGTTGGGTCTCAGCCCTGGCACCAGGTGCTTTTGTTGCTTCTCAAGCTCTTCTCTCCCACCAGAGAAATGAAGAGCCTGATCGAACATTGTGCCAGCAAAATCAGCTGCCTCAATTGTTCTCCAACCATGTCTTCCGCTCCCTACTCAAATCCCTCCCCTGGCTCCTCTTCTACTTCTGCAGCAAATTGTAGCTTCTCCTCAATGCCAAGGATCAGCACCCGGGAGCTGGATATTTTGTAAGAGGGGCTGCTCTCCTGTCCTGGCATCTGTGGGGTGTCCCACAACCTCAGCCAGAGGTGGATGAATTTCAGGTTCAGAGATGGGCTCCCAGGATGATCAGGGTCATGGAGGGCCTGTCGTAAGAGAGGAGACTAAAAAAACTGAGCTTGTTTTGGGTAGCAAAGGGAAGGCTGAGAGGGGATGTGATTGCTCTTTGCGAATGCATCAGGGGAGTAAACAACATGCAGAGAGATGAGCTGTTGAAGCTAACAGTCAAATCGACCAAGAAGAAATGGGGATTATCTGGCCTTGAATTCAATTCAGGCTGGGAACTAAAGGTTTCTACCCATCAGAGGAGTGAGGTTCTGGAGCAGACTGCCAGGAAGTGTTGTGAGAGAAAACAACAGGTATTTAAAGGTATTTTCAGGTATTTTAAAGGGTGTCATAAGGAGGAGGGAGAAAATTTGTTCACCTTAGACTCTAAGGATAGAACAAGAAGCAATGGGTTTAAACTGCAGCAAGGGAGGTCTAGGTTGGACATTAGGAAAAAGTTCCTAACGGTCAGGGTGGTTAAACACTGGAATAAATTGCCTAGGGAGGTTGTGGAATCTCCATCTCTGGAGATATTTAAGAGTAGGTTAGATAAATGTCTATCAGGGATGGTCTAGACAGTATTTGGTCCTGCCATGCGGGCAGGGGACTGGACTCGATGACCTCTCGAGGTCCCTTCCAGTCCTAGAATCTATGAATCTATGAATCTATGAATTGTGTCGGTGCTGAGCGTACTCACCAGAAATGCTTGTATCGATCCAGAGTGTGGTGCACCATGGAGAGGTATCCCACTGTGCAACTTGCCACCGTCCACCATACTGTATTTTTGCTGGGGTTAAAATGGGTCGCACAGGAATCAACTTCACATAGTGCAGTGTTCACCCTCCCCTAATTTTATATGTATCCCAAATGTAAAATTATACATAATTTTTGCACTTTTTTCCTAAATCTCACAAACCCGTGTGGTCCTTCTCACTGTCTGCCATCTCTGACAGAAGCATGGAGTCTGCATGGCTCTGCATTGTCATGACTAGCATTGCAAGCTCAGGGTACACAATCCTGCTGTATTTGCAGAGCTGCAGAATAGAAGTGGGGGCATGACAGAGGTGAAAGTAAGCCGGTACGGCATACCGGACCAGCTTCCCCAGGCAGCAATTTAAAGAGCCTGGGGCTCTCAGCAGCGGCTGGAGCCCCAGGCCCTTTAAATTGCCGCCAGAGCCCTGCTGCCAGAGCCCCCGGATAGCAGAGGTGGCCAGGACCCCCGGGGCTCCGGCGGCTATTTAAAGGGCCCAGGGCCCCGCTGCAGTAGCGGCGGCTGGGCGCCCCGGGCCCTTTAAATCGCCGCCCGAGCCCCACTGCTGGAGCCCCGGGGTAGTGGCGACAGCCGGGACCCCCAGGGCTCCTTCAGCAATTTAAAGGGCCCGGGGTTCCACTGCAGTAGCGGCGGCTGGGAGCCCCATGCCCTTTAAATCACCGCTGGAGCCCCCAGCCTCTGCTGCTACCCCAGGGCTCTGGCAGTTGGGCTCAGGTGAAGATTTAAAGGGCCCGGGGTTCCACTGAGGTAGCAGCGGCAAGAGCCCTGGTCCCTTTAAATGGCCCCCGAGTCCCCAGGCTCCCAACCACCTCTGCTGCCGGTAGCTCTGGCAGTGATTTAAAGGGCCCGGGGCTCCCAGCTGCCACTACTGCAGCCAGAGCCTGGGGCCCTTTAAACCTCGATTTAAAGGGCCCAGGGCTCTAAAGGCCCCGCCCCTTCTGGTTGAGGCCACGCCCCTTCCGATTGAGGCCACATCCCCTGCTCCGGACTCCGGCATACCGGTAGGTCCTTTAAGTTACTTTCACCCCCGGGGCATGATGATTCCATGCAGAACAGATTGCTGTGGGAAATAGCGACTACCAATTCAAAACTGTTGGTGGCATTCATGGAGCAGCTGCAGATGGTGAAGTACCAGTTCTGGGCCCGAGAAACAACCTCCAACTGGTGGGATTGCATCGTAATGCAGGTTTTATAGCAAAATGTGTCGGTAGTGGGCTTTTAACCCACTGGCTCTCACTGGCCAGGCAGTGTGGCACTCAGCGCTCCAGAGCCTGGAAGAGGCAAGGAGATTTTCATAGTGTGTAAATGGTGAAAAGGTGCAGGGAATTCTCGACTAGCACTGCGAGATATGTAGAGAGATGGGTGGCTGAGGTGTGCCTCTTCCCTGCTCTCTGCACCTTTCAGCACAGGATCGTACAGGAAACAATCCTCCAAGCCCATTAAGGGTTACCTATTAAAATGCCACACCTAAGTAACAAATAAGGAAAAGAAAAGCCATAGAGGTATGTTTTTCTGCAGCTCGTCTCATGGAAGGGTGATGTCTAGTTGCTAGTAGGAGCAGTAATGTACCTAGGAGGATACCTGAAGCCCTCTCCATTCTGTAAACAGAAACTGGTATAAAAATCAGTCCAGGGTTTGCTAACACTCCTGGATACTTAGACGTGAGAGCACGTTCCAGAAACTGTGGAAAGGAACTAACATGCACTAAGGCAAACATGGCATCAGGCAACAGCATTAATGCCAGGCAATCAACCCTGCCAACTAGCAGTAATAACTGGGCACATTTTGCACGCAGAGACCATGTTTAAAAAAAATCTAAAGCGTTTGTTGCAGACACAAATTACCCCCACTAATTAACAATGCAGCAGCCACAAAATAGGACAAATCCCCAGAGCCCCAGCCCTACTTGTAAACAAAAATCAAAAAAAGAAC